GCAAGCCTGAGCCAGCCCTAACTATAAGCTTTATCAAAGAGGAAAGTCTTAAGTCTAGTCTTAAATGTGGAGACGGTGTCTGCCTCCCGGACCGTAACAGGAAGATGATTCCACAGGTCATGTGATCCATTTTCCTTGTTTTAGTCGACACAGTGGCTGCAGCGTTCTGGACTAGCTGTCCAGTGAAAGGGGAGCTGCAATAGTCCAAACAGCTGGTAATAAAGTGTGAGTGAGTATTTCAGCATCTGTCTGGGTTAAAAAAGGTCTGAGGTTTCAAAGTACTCAAGGACACCTTACAAGACACAGTTAGAAAAAATAAGCAGCAGCAAAAAATTCAGTAATATATAATAATGAGTTAATAACTGACTAGACAAAAATCATAATTATAAATATGGAGGAGTTCAGACAGGTCTCAGGCAAGCTGAGGAACGACGCTCGGCCACGATTGTTTTTTCTCCAAGTGAGGATAAACGAGACCGAAATTAATATAAATGAATGCTTGAAGATCCACTCATTACTAAAAGTGTGTGTCATACAAAAACTAAAGTGATGGTCAAAGTTGTCACAGTGAAATTTAAGGTGTGCTGATGGATTCACGTCATCAACTCATGCACTAAGTAACATTACAAGTTAACGTTCCACCTTAAAAGTTGCCGGCAGTCGGCCCAGTGAATGAAGTTATTTTTTCTCAGACTCCAGCTGCTGTGAGAGGCAGCAAAACATCCTTTCATTTTATAGTTACAGTTTACTGATAAAAATCTCCACAGTATGAACAGTGTTTACATGAGGTTACACATAATGACACTACTATCAAATTTAGCTGGATTTAACCTCAACCTTATTGAAACTACATTATGTATGCAGACAGAGAAACAGTATTAATGTGAGACCCAAAGGACAATGAACTGTCCAGGATGACTCCTGACCTGAGGGGACAGACAGACAGACAGACAGACAAACAGAGGAGTTATCAGTGATCAGAGAGGTAGAATAAGTACCTACAAGATAACACTTCATTGATTCATCTGTAATCCATTTCAACTTGTAAATGAAAACTGTTTTTGTAGCGTGTACACTTGTATCAGTTATTTCTGCTTCGTCTTGAACCTTTGATCGATCTTTGTTTTTATCTTTTTCTTTTTTATGTTTCATTATTGCTAATTAATAGAGGAGGTATCTTCACTATCTTCAATCTAACCTCCTGCACACCAAAACCTTTTTTAATTATTTTCCATCCCCACATATGTGCAAATAAATCAATTCACTAAAACTAACTTATAATAATCAACTTGCAACGTTGAGCTATTTGCAGAATTTGCATAAACTAAAGACGGGTCAGCTCCAGAGCTGCTCCACAGGTCTGTTTGTATCTTGACCTACACAGTGGAAAAGTCACAGCAAGTAAGATAACCAATTAAATTTAACAGGAACGTGGATCAGCCCACGCTGCTGCTGCTGTTAATATAGTTTAGGGCAGTTTGAACTCCTGAGCTACAGAATATATAAATGTTCCCCTCTGGTTATAAAAGTAGTGTGCTGATTAACTGCTGTGGTCTCACAGCCTGCACAATAACATTTAAACTTTTCCAGGAAACAATTGGACTTAACGGCAGGATTAAATAATGAATAAATAAATAATGAGTCATGAAAATTGATCTTTCAAACTTTCCTATAAAAGTTCCTGCAGAACCACTAAAGAATAGGCACCATCTTAGAGTCTGTAGTTGTGTTCATACAGTGTGCAGTGGCTTAGTGGTGACTTGGTAGATGGGTGTACTGAGGCAATGTGTCTCATTTGTTCTCCGTGTCCCTGCTGATGTCACCGTGTCATCACTGTCAGACATTTTCTCGTTGACATAGCTTAAAGTGTCTTGTACCCGCTTAATTATGAAGCCTGTGGGATGTGAAATGACAGCAAGGAGAGGAGTGTTTGTGCCCTCAGTTTGTCCTGAAGACACAGCTTCTCTCCAGGCTTTGTGCCGTTACTTGTGTCGCCAGGAAGAAGGCGCCGCCTTCAAGGCTAAAATCAGGGAAACAACTCTCTCATGCACAGTTAACATTACAGATTACATGAAAGACTGGAACATGATCAGCTGCAGCAACAGGTGCACTGCTAGCTACCTGTGGCTCTGACATGTTGGTGTGGGTTTCCTCCAGGTGCTCCGACATGTTCTCCCTGTGTCAGCGTGGGTTTCCTCCAGGTGCTCCGACATGTTCTCCCTGTGTCAGCGTGGGTTTCCTCCAGGTGCTCTGACATGTTCTCCCTGTGTCAGCGTGGGTTTCCTCCAGGTGCTCTGACATGTTCTCCCCGTGTCAGCGTGGGTTTCCTCCAGGTGCTCCGACATGTTCTCCCTGTGTCAGCGTGGGTTTTCTCCGGGTGCTCACATTCACACCTACGGACAATTTAGAGTCACCAATTAACCTGTGGGAGGAAGCTCTAGCACCTGGAGAAAACCCACGCTGACATGAGGAGAATATGCAAACTCCACATAGAAGGGCTCCCCGACCCTGGGGTTTGAACCCCCCCACTCTGTGGTGACAATGCTAGCCACTATGCCACCGAATGGAAGTGTATTTTGAAAACACATACTGCATGCAACACGCATAAATAGACATGGCATTCCGGAACATCCAAAACTGCCGCAGGAGGGCACCTGGTACGTCATATTTTGATGTTTAGACATGTGACAGCAGCACTTGAGGAGTAGGGCTGAGAAGGCATGGGTGCCTTCACAACACTACACCTCTGTATTTTTGTATGAAGACATCCATGTGACAGCGGCAAATGTGTGGTCACTTGGCATCATTGTGCACATGTTGGGGTATGTTTTGTTGTTTACTGCCTTCAGGAAAACATGTAAACAAACATCATTCATTAATGATATTCTCAGAGCCCGGGTTTATTTCACAGGGCCATCCATGTTGGCGGCCTGGTGACGTGTCCTCTCCTGAGATGGAAAGAATGGTGAGACCAGGAGAAGGGAGTCTGTGGCAGCTCTCCACCATCGGGAAGGTTTCTCTCATCAGAGCGATGCAGCTCGGGTGTAAGGTGACGGCGGCTACGTTTGGGAGAGCCCCCGGCGTCCTTCGTGTCACTGCTGTTATCCACACAACACAACACCACAGGAGGGAAACTGTGCCCCTGAACAGCAGGAGGAACACACGAGTCCAGGGATGTAAGTGGAGCAGTGTGCTCCCTGTCAAAGCACATAAATCAAGCCTGGCTGCAGGATCTGACAAAACAAACAAACCCCAGGCTTTAAAGGAACAGTTCAAGGTTTGACAGGGAAAACAAGCTATATATTTCAAATGAGCATGTTTCCCAAAGTGTCAAAGGTTTCCTTTGATAAGTAGCTGAAGTGTCCAGACACTGCAGGTCAGACAACTGTACAGTGTGTCAGATGAGAGTCTGAATAACCATACGGCTTTTATCAAGATCTGTGAGATGCTAACTCAGTGTCAGAGAAAGTTCTTCAGCTCTTTCCCTGCCATTGACAAGATATTCCGTCAATCCGTGTTCATACTCTTATAAGATAGGGGGCGCTGTTACACATCTTGTGAAATAGAACAGCACTGCCATGTCCAAAAACAAATTAAGAAGATCTGCTGGGAACTGGAGGAGGATGTAGCAGCTTGTAAACTGCACAAAAATGCCAACGGAAAAGTTTATGGTTGAGTGAGCTGTGGAGATATTGATAGACTCAGACCCCAACACTTCCTGTTTTGATCAACAATCTGATGGGATGAGGAAACAAACGAGTTTGGTGGGATGAAACAGGATCTCCATGGCGGTGACAGTGACACACGGACAAGACAACAAGATGTCCAAAATATTGTTTCTTTTTCATGAGAATGCAAAAATTCAAGTGTTGATAAGAAACAAATGGAATAAGATATTATAAAATGTTTTTTTTAATGTATAAAAACATAAGGTCTCTTCTCTTTACATATTCTTAGAACAAATTATTCCGTGGGTCTTGAAAGATCAGTGAATATGATCAAAAATGCTGGCAGTGGCTGGAAACTTATATATTAATAATAATAAATTAAAAGGAATAAAAATAATACTCTGGTAGAGAAAGTGTCAAAAGGAAAACTGTCCCAGTTCTGCATTACTGGTCACCTGCTCACTTCTGCCTGCTCAATCACCCAGCTACCCAGTCCCTGCACCTCAGCATCTGGCCCGCCCACCTCATCAAGGCAACTCAGTTCACCTGTTCCTCCTTACTCTCAGCCAGGACATATACCCCAGCTTCTGTTTGTCACTCGTGCTTACTTAAGACTCTCCAGCACTTTATTCAGGACTGATTTCCTGTTGCCGACCCTGCCTCCCTCTGACCTGCCTGCTTTGTCTGATTCCTGGTAAAAGCAACAGCCTTCTGTCCCCGACCTCAAGACCTGTTTTTTGCTTCTTTGGTTCCTGTTCTCCTGTGGCTGCTTTGCGTTATGGCCTGACCACAACGCCACAGTGTGAGTGTTCCAGTGTGCATACCTGTGGTTTCCTACAGTCCAGAGATTCTCACCATGTCACCACACTCACCATTGTGTGTACATCCTGTCATCAGCCATGAAAAACTGATGAAACTCACACAGATGTTGCTGTTAGTTGTTGGTATTTTGGAACTTTTTTATTGTTTAAATTTTCTTTATGTTGCTATTTACTTGTGATTTTCATTCCCTTTGCTGTTGTTTGTTTCTGTTGTTCTATTGTTGACCTTATTCCAGTTATTCTTTTATTTCTATATTCGGCTTGTTTTGTTTATTTTTAAGTATGAAGTCTGAGTCCAAAGTGAGACGTCCGTCTTAAATAAAAAATCTTCTCCTCTGACTGAATGACAAACAGCTGAACTAAACTAATATAAACAGAATAAAAACACTTTTACAGACAGAATCATTTTGTCTTTATTATATCAAACAGAAAATGGTTCATAATTTTTGAATAATTTGAAACATATAATTTTTCATATTGTAAACATTTCATTCCACGTTATTATGAATTGACTGTAATGTTGGTTGCAGATATGTGGAGCAGAAAAACTAAACGCTGCTTCTCCATGTTAAGTCCTGACTCTGTGGACACAAAGCAGTTTGTCCACATCCTGCTGAGACATCACTCATCTTATCCTCAGTATGTCCTGAAGGTGACAGCAGGCTGTCTTTGTAACTTTCTTAATGTGGCTGTTGAAGTTCAGCTCTGAGTCCATGACTACACGAAGATTTCTGGCTCTGTCTGTGGTTTTTAACGTGGACATCTACATCTGACTTTTAGTCGTTCCTCCTTGGTTCCAAAAACTATGACCTCAGTTTATTTGTTGTTTGACTGAAGAATATTTATGAACATCCAGTTATTGATTTGTTCAATGCCCTCAGTCAGAGTTGTATCGGACAACAGTCCCCTGGGGACATGGTAATGTAAATTTGTGTGTCATCTGCAGAACTATGGTAACATATTTTGTTGTTTCCATAATCTGAGACAATGGAAACATGTACTGTAAATGTAAAACAGAAGAGGCCCCAATATGGAGCCTTGGGGAACTAAAATGCATGTCATTTTATATGTTCAGCTCTGTAATCGCCTATAGACACAAAGTAGTCCCTTTCCCTTAAGCTTGAATTGAATCAGTTTAGTTTAGTCACTGCAGTAAATTCTGGTGCAGTTCATAGCTACACCCACAAAGTCTTCAGAAGGTCATAAAAATGTTGAAACATGACAATAGCACACTGTATCTACAAAAACTTACAGTCCCAGTGATTTTTAAGTACCCACAAGGAACTGCTCGTCATTTCTCACAGAAGACAAATAAAACTATCAGCAAAAAATGCAAGCAAAGCTGGAGTTTAGTGACTTTTCCTTCAAGAAATAAATCATCCTCTTCATCTCGAACTGCTCTGTTTCCCTGTCACACAGACTGTCTTTGGTAATATCTTCAGCTCATCAAAAGTGCTAACGTATGGAAACAGTCTCTCAGTGAAAGTGTGTGTGAAGGTGTGTATGTGTGTGTTAGTATCAGGATCAGAGAACGACAGCTTTCCTCTGTTCCAGTCCAGATTCACTCTGATCCTCTGGAGCTTCTTCTTCAGTTGGAGATCAGTGTGTGGAGCTGGTAGTGCCCATGCTGAGTATTTACCTTTATAGAACATTATTCTCCACAATCCAGACTCTATGAGTCCCTTCCTCTGGACAGACTCTGCTAACACACCCAGTATCCAGCCTGTACTGTCTCCAACCTCGACATCCCAGCTGTGAGTCCCTGAGTTAAAGTCCTCAGAGCCCAGGACAGATCAGTTTTTATCAAACCTCTCTGGATTATCAGGAAGCTGCTGCTTCTCCTCTGCTTTTCTCACACTGGTCAGATCTTCAGACAGGATGAGTTTTGGACCAGCAGTGTTTGGATCCAGGATCACAGGAGTGTATGAGACCATGTCCTTCATCTTGTTCCAGATGTTGAAGGTCAGGTTGCCCAGGTGTTTGGCCTTGTCTATCAGAGCTCCTGAGAGCAGCTGTGGATCATCCAGCAGGGGGCGCTGCTGGACTCTGTCCACTGCAGCCTTGTAGTTGAGCAGGAATGAGACGTCTTCAGCTCTCAGCTCGTCCTCTGTGGCTCTGACTGTGTCTGAAAGAGCTGCTATCTCTCTGCTCAGAGCCTCCATCTTCTCCTTCATCATCTGACTCTTCTGCTCCTCTTCCTCCCTCAGTGCAGCCATCCTGGCCTCCTCTTCCTCTTCTAGAAACTGGTGAAGCTTCTTAAACTGCTCCTTAATCTGCCTCTCTGTGCGTCGGGCCTGGACCTTCATGTGTTGTGCTGTTTGTTCACACTTCACTTTAACTTGTTCACAAACCTTTAACTTCTCCTTTAAGGGCTCCAGAGTTTCCTCAACTTCCTTCTTGTGTTGTCGTGCAGCTTCATCGATGGGTCTGAATCTGTGGTTGGTGTGTTTTTCTGAAACTCTGCAGACAAGACAAACCGGCTGCTGATGGTCCAGACAGAAGAGTTTGAGTTTCTCAGAGTGCAGACTGCAGAGAGCCTCTGAAGCTCTCTGATCTCTCTCCTGTAAGAAGGCCTCACACAGGTTCTTTAACGCCAGGTTTAAAGGTGGTTCAGCCCTTGAAGATCTTCTCTTACAAACTGGACACTCCTGTGTTTGTTTCTCTGTCCACCAGCTCTTCAGACAGTCTTTACAGAGACTGTGGCTACATGACAGAACAACAGGATGTCTAAAGACGTCCTGACAGACCGGACAGCAGAGATCCTCCTCTGATCTGGAAGCCATTTAGTCTCTGAGTGAAGCTGAAAACACAGCAGACAGAAAGTACAGTCAGTCATGGCTCCCCTCCCTCCTCTACTAACTTCACTGAAATGTACTTTGACTTTGAGTGGTGTTTTTAGTCAAACTCACCTTCAGTGTGTGGAGTGTCAGCAGGTTGAAGCAGCAGTGTTGGAGTTTTAGCTGAACTCACTCACAGGAAGTTGTTAGTTTGGTGTGAAGGTGAATCTGATCGTCTGTCCTTCAGTCTGTGTCTCTCTTCAGTGACGAAGAATCACAAACTGTTTTCTGTCTTTTCTCAGTTGAGTCAGGTGAGGGGTGGAGCTGTGTTACACCTCTTCTGCTCAGTGTTGTTGCTGGTCCTGTTACACAGGTGTGTCTGATTCCAAAGTACTGATTCATTGTTGCATATGTTGACTGACAGTGTCTAAGAGGCTGTTGCAGCAGCTTGTCTCTGTTAAAAGTAGTTTGAATGTAGTGAAGGAGCAGGTATATAATTTGGTAAAACAATATTTCAAGTTCAATGTTATGTTCTTTAATGGCATGTGCACAACAGCAGTCGTTGACAATGACAATAATAATAATAATAAATAATAAAAAATAATAAAATAATACAAGTCAAAATATAGGTCTGAAATAAAAATAAATGGATCTAACATAAAACTACTTTAAATGTTAGTTGCTGATTATGAGGAAGATGCCTCCTCGCCGCTCTTCCCAGATGTTTTTGTCCGGTCATGGCAGTGAATGAAGAGTTCCTCTGGAACAACGGCCGAGTCCGGGATTGAGGGGTCGACCCAAGTCTCTAAATGTTGTGGTCCTTAATTTCCCAACAAAAAGCTATCCTGCATCAGTTTCCTCAGAGTGCTGTCACACCTGCCATGTATGGATCATTTCAATTGAACTCAGGTTAATTTGCCCCCTCAGTGCAGTTGGTTTGTGCAGGTGTGAACACACCAAAACAACCGGACTGAGACCTTCTTGAAGAGGTGGTCTCAGTCCGGTTCCAAAGGAACTCTGGTGCGGTTGGTTTGTGGTGAGAAGGTGTTCCGACCTGGATGTGAAGCAACTGCAGTCACATGACACATTGTTTGGGTTAAACATGAGCATGTTACAGTCCTGGAGGATTATTAATGTGCACCTCCTCCTGTACTGCCTTAATATGCACATTCAGCACATCCAATGCATCAAAACATTGTTTTCTAGTTGGAGCCGCGCCTCGTTTTCAAACTGTATGGTTTGACTAAAATGAACAATGACAGCAATATAGTCCACGATGAGCAGCGCTAAAATCAACCTGCGTAGTTGTCCCTCCATTGTGACATTAGAAAGTGTCACATTTATCTTGCAAGTGTACTCTTCTTCAACGTTTGCTTTACTTCCTGGATTTTTCCCACATGGAAATTCTGACCAATCAAGAGCAGCTTTCTCACACAAGGCATTTGATCTGGTCCTCTTGTAAATGCTGCCGTGAGAACACGAACCAACTCTAGGCAATTATACAACTTTGGAACAACATGAGTCCCTGATTCGGACCAAAGGAGACCACTCTAGGGCTGACAGCAGCCTCAGTCTGACTTGGACCCTCTGTTTTACCAGCCATGGAAATTCCCCATCATTTGCTGCTTATGGTGAAAAATTGTTGAGCACCAGTGACCTAATGCACATAGGTTGTTCATAATATATGACAGGGCTGGCTTGGGTGGTGCGCATATTGCAAAAAAAAAAAAAAAAAAAAAAAAAAAGCAACAATAAAACAAAGTAAAACAAGAGAAAGACCTTAAAACACAGCAGCATCCCCTGCACCATCTTGTTCCCTTAATAGTGTACGGCAGTGCTGTAAGGTAGTTACCACGGGCCCCAGTGCATGTTAGTTAATAAGGCACACACAAACACACACCACTGGCAACTATAAAAAAGTCAGATAAATCTGATTTGGGGAGCTTTGCTATTCCTTCCTCATGCTCGCCTCTCCCTTGTCCTTTCTAGCTGCCACTTTTACATTTGAAAAGGCCTGACTGCCCCCTGCTGGACATACAGACATGCTCTCCTTGTCGGTCTTCGGGGATTTTGTGCCTAAACTAGCTACGGGATCGTATCGTCTTGTCACATATCAAATAGAGACTTGACTTCAGGCAACATCAAAATCAACATACATGTTGTTACACTGCATACCTTTTACATCTGGAACCTCCCGTCTACACGTCTCATTGAGGACTTGGCTCAGATTAATCTGATCACATTTGATTCGGCGGTGGGAACCTCTTGTGACTGCATGCCTTTGCTGACATCGACCCGAGCAGGATTCAAACCCACATGGAAGACGAGTGCTCTGACCACTACCCTCGGGAGGCCCTACATCATTGCATACCTGCACATGATAAAAATATCAAAGAAAATAAGAAATTATTCATTTGATTGCAGCGGTGGCTGTTAGCAGCTAGCTCCGCTCGGGGAACTGCCCATTGGTCCGACAGCCCATTGATCCGACCATATTAAACCCATTGTTCCAAAGTCCGTTCCGAAATCATCATGATGCCCTGTGGTTCAGGTCTGGTTAGGTTTAGGCACAAAAACCACTTGGTTAGGGTCAGGAAAAGGTCATGGTGTGGGTTAAAATGAAAAAGAAAGTGACAAACACATAAGCCGTGAGCCTGCTCCGCCTCAAGCCTTTCCCAGCTGACCCAGAGCCGGTCGCGGTGCACCATCAAGGCAGAAATACGTCCGCTGGGAGCTGTTCAGCACCGCGGACCGTCGGACTAATGGGATGTCGGACCAATGGGCTGTCGGACCAATGACATGGACCCCTCCGCTCGCAGCCTTCACAGCTTCACCCCGCAGGACTCCACTCAGTCCGGACTGGAGAAGGTTTGTGGGTTGATGGTGTTTGACAGGCAGGTAGGAGGCTCAGTTATCTGTGAGTGTAGCTGTGCTGTAAGTAAACAGTCTGAACTCAGATCAGTTTTCTCTGACAGAGATGAAAGTTTAGTTTGAATCACCAACTCTGTGAGAGGACACCAGTTTAAACCTCCAGACTAACATGTTGCACATGAAGAAACAAGTTATGTTTCTGCTTCTTAACAGTCACATGGATAAGTCAGAGTTTACAATGAACCTGGGGACAAATCCTAGTTGGCTCACATTAGTTATTTGTTGAGAGCATAAATAGAGAGATGTTGAGCTTTTCAGATGATGATCAGTAAGTGTGTGCTCGTAAATCAGCCCTTAAACCTGTCACACACTGCTGGAGACATGACACACACATTATTTTATACAACCTGTCACCTTGAGTCTGATTTATGATCCATGAATTAACCTCACTGGATTAGTTTGAAGAGAAAAACAGACGGAAAGCAGAACGACTAAAATGTGACTAAAACTAAACTCAAAGAAATAAGATTCGTTTGTCTCGACTCAGACTAAATCTAAAGTAGCTGTGAGAATGAACACTGGTTAGCACTCAGATAAAAAGCACAGATGCTGTTTCATGCTAAATGTTGTTCTGTAAACCTGCTTCATGCACACACAGTACACAGTGTAAGTCCTTCATCTTTTGTCTGCTGCAGAGCACCGACTCAGATTAAACTGTCATTGCCAGAAATGAAATCCCAAATCAATGGGTTAATTACAGAACGTCCACAAGAACTTTTCAAGTCGCCGTACATTTAGTGTGATCATTACAATCCTGAGAAGTCATTACAAAGAGTGATGAGTGAAATCTATACACAGGTTTCTACAGATATTCCATTTGAACCATCCACATTCTTCAAGGCTGTGGACTTCAATATTCGTCTGAGGGTTTAATTACAGGTAATTATCAGCAGCATGGCGTGTTCAGTGTGGAGGCTAATTTCCTGAATGAGTTTATGTTTTTAAAACCAGGACGTCACAAAAATTATGTTTGTTTAATGAACCTGCAAATACCAAACACCATTTCTCATCTAAAACCAAGTGAATATTTCTTTGAAATATTTGGTACACTGAGTCCCAACTATGTTTTGTAATTAAATTACAGAGCAGAATGTGATGTGTGTTTTCCTTCATTATGTTTTGCCAAGGTTTTTATTTGATGAGTAATATCTCCAGTGAGAATGAGTCAGCTCAGATCCTGACTGAGAATGAGAAGGAATTTGTAGCCTTTCTTCCAAGTGGTGTTTAACAGTGGACATTATTCACAATGAGTTCCCCTCAGTGTGATGTTTGAAAGCTCATAAGGAGAATAACATTCATGACTGTTGGCTGATATGAATCAACAGCTGAAATCACAAAAGACCTTTGTAGGATTTCTTCTATGTGTTTGAGTGTGGAGGTTTAGGCCCTGTCTGTACAGATTCAGATATTTCTCTAAACAGATATTTTACTCAACGTTTGGGCCTCTCATCCACACACACACACACACACACACACACACACACACACACACTAAGTTTTAGGTACCTGAAAGGGATATTTTCTGACACACCTTCTAAAGTGAAAAGTTATCAAAACTCTGTTTATCTGTGTGGATGTGTGATATGGGGCGTTTGGAAAACAGTGTAATCTTCTCAAAGTGCACACTAACAACAGCGGACTACTGCTTTGCTAATGTTTTGTTCGCACTGCTTGGTCTAATGACTTTATACTTAAACTCAAAACCAGAACCGACAGTCTCAGATCAGGACCGGTCGAACCAGCAGATGGTGGGACACTTTCCAGAAATTGTTGTTGATGACGAGTGGAGGAAAAACTTTCAGGAATCAGTGGTGATGATCTCCAAAAGGTGACGTTAGCCTGTCCACTTTAGACGCTCGACACCTGGTCACCCTGCGGCTCGAGTGACGTGCGTTTTCAGCAACAAATGGGCAGTTGCGGTGATCATAGTGGCATCGCACCATCTTTCACTACAGTTTTAATATTTATATTTGTCACAGACAAGAACAACTCTGAGTATCTATTTTTGACTCAACACTTCCTGTTTCTGTTTCAAAATAAAAGTCCCCTGAGAATGTTTCTGTGGACAGAATCTCTTCTTTTATTGTGAAATATGTGCAGGGCCATGCTGTTGTTCATGCAGTGGCAGTGGTTTTTGTACGACTCCATAAATATGGAGAGTGCAGGCTTTCAGTTGTGGAAATACAGACGTTACAGCAGCAGGCAGCTCTGCAGCAGCAACGCTGTCTGTGTGAACACTGCACACATGGGTGTTTGTACGTATGGATTCAGCTCGTGTAGAAGTCTGCAGCTCATATTTTAACTGGGACAAATCAT